AACATTGATAAAACCTGAGCCAAACTCAAAGTGTAACACAGATAAAACCTGAGCCTGACTCGAGGGTTAACGCAGATCAAACCTGAGACAAACTCAAAGTGTAACACTGATAAAACCTAAGCCAAACTCAAAGTGTAACACAGATAAAACCTGAGCCAAACTCAAAGTGTAACACAGATAAAACCTGAGCCTGACTCAAGGGTTAACGCAAATCAAACCTGAGACAAAATCAAAGTGTAACACTGATAAAACCTAAGCCAAACTCGAAGTGTAACACAGATAAAACCTAAGCCAAACTTGAAGTGTAACACAGATAAAACCTGAGCCAAACTTGAAGTGTAACACAGATAAAACCTAAGCCAAACTTGAAGTGTAACACAGATAAAACCTGAGCCAAACTTGAAGTGTAACACAGATAAAACCGGACTCAAACTCGAAGTGTAACACAGATCAAACCTAAGCCAAACTCGAAGTGTAACACAGATAAAACTTTAGCCTAACTCTAAGGTTAACACCGATAACACCTGAGCCTAACTCTAAGGTTAACACTGACAAACCTGAGCCTTATCTAAGGTTATCACTGATAAAACCTGAACCTGACCCTAAGGTTAACGCTTATATTCCACTGCAAGTTAAATGTGGATCAAATTGAAAAAATCTCTAAAACAGCTCTGTGGCTTATATTCTTGAGTACGGTTTATAGGTCTAAAAATATGGTAGGTCAAGTAGGTCAAGCAACCCTACTTTCCATATGTAACACACTGTCAACAAGAGGAAGTCATATCCAAAGTATAAAGTTCCAATGACTTGTGGCGTAGAAGATAGGGCCAGAACAATCTTTTTCTTTGATGTAGGTCAAAGGTCAAAATGTAGGTCAGAGAGACCTACTTTTGATATGCGACACACTTTCTCACCAATGTGAAACCATATCCCCAGTATAAAGTTCCCGTGATAAGTAGTATGAAAGATAGGGCCATGACTAATTGACCAAAAACAATCCATCATCCTCACTGATTGTTTAAGACAACATGCAACAGTTTTTTATGGTATATTCAGATAAATTCAAGATTTTGTCAGCTCTAAAACAGATTGGAACTGGTGTGTTCTACTGATGTTAATAGATCACTAAGGTGTCCACAGCAGTGACCATTGTGAATCAATAAGTTAAACACCTTGTTGACAGTTGGGAAGTTTCAATGAAATCCTTTCAGCAATCACAAATCACTGATTATCTGGACAGCCAGATCGTGGAGAGCTGGCGACAGAAGCACTGCTCTATGTTAGGATAGGGGGACATCAGGAGGTCATCTTAGATTTCTCTTGGGACTGCAATGCTTTTCTATGAATTAGAAGGAGCATTTGGTGTGACAAGCACAAGGCTATCCCTAGATGAAGATACCATTATGAGGTGGCCCTTTACATTATAAACATTGGTAATTTTCTTGTAGGATGTATCCCTTGATGGAAGTATGAACAGATGTGACAGCCATGTCAGTGACCAGGCCAATGGTCAGTAAATGACAATGATGGAACCTGGCAGTATCTCGATTGTCATTCCCATGTTGTAACAACGCAATGTCAAAAGATGTGTTAGAGCAACATAACAGTAGCAATAATGGGGATGTCTGGTTCACCACCAAAGATTTTTATCTTGGTAAGCACATTTTGCATATCTACAGAATCACACCAACAACACATATGAAAAGTTTCATTACAATTAGATAGGTGGTGTCTGATAAAAAAGATAATTATAATTTCAACAGATTGACCCTTGACCTGAGGACATGTCCATCCAATCAAACACCCTCATACAATGCGTATCAAATATAAACAAGAAGTTATTGAATGAAAACTAATGTGAGGGAGGTCTGAATCACATTCCCTTGCTTCCTACTTATATCCTTACTATTTTGCTAAAATACAATTGTCTTTTGAAGCAGATACATAGGGATTGAAATGAAGAATATTGATTGTTTGGGGGTTGATAAGGAATGTGAGTTGATAGTAAGTAGGCAAAGATGGTTTGGGGTTAATATGGAATAGATTGATGGGTTGTGGGTTGGGGAATTGTGGGTTGGTCAGTTTTGGTTTACTGGTTGTGGGTTGATAACTGATGAAATTATTGCAAGATATATTCTATCAGGCTGTCCAATGAAAAAAGTAAGTGGGCTGATGTTTTTTTTTGGGGTTAATAGGAAATGAATTGATGGGTTCTGAGTTAGTGGGTTGATGGTTTTTGGGGTTGATAGGAAATGAATTGATGGGTTGTTAGTTAGTAGGTTGTGAGTTAGTGGTTTGATGGGTTGCAGGGTGATGGAATGTAAGTTGGTGGGTTGATTGTACAGCAGATGAACAACAAACACTATATAATCACATCCAATATTTCCTTTACATGGGTTAACACTTAAATTTTATATTTTTATAATACATGATGGGTGGGGTATGTTGTTCTAAAAATTATATATAATTTGTTAGAACACCATGGTGGCGTTTTTGATCCCCACCTAGGACCAAATGTCTTCAAATGTAAAATTTGTTGTTCATGCTTGAAACTCTTATGTTTCAAGTTCGTCGTTTATATATTAAAAAATGGCCAATTTCAATCAAATCTGATCTTTTGTCTGGTCTTTTATGCTTATACATTTGGTCCAACTAGCTTGCCCTCACCACGGTCATGTATAAATACTAATATTAATATTATATATATAATCTTTATTTATTTCAATAAGAGAGAAGTTATATACATGAGAGGTTACACATACATCTGAGCTTCCTATTCTTTCTATGTTGGTCACCTGGCAGCATCAGGATAATGTGATGATGAGCACAGGACAGCCATTAACACCCACAACAATTATATCTAAGCACATCATCACAAACACAAATAATTGCTTCTTTTATCAGGTATAATTTGAAATCACCTAAGGTCAACAGATTATAAATATTACTTCTCCTGCATGATATTGTTTTCAGAATTTTACACAAAATGACATAACATAATATCAGAAAATCTGGAATAAGACAAATGATTTTTAATCCACTGCTAGAGAGAAATATCATGAATACTTCAAAACTTGAAATATTGAAACGGTTTTTACAATGAACTTAATGGTTCCATCAACTTGGCACTCTCCATGTTCTATCTCCATTAAAGGCACATGTGACAGGACATTAATTTGAGCCAAGCACTAATAGCAAGGTATTAACAAAAATGAATCACTTCAGTCGCATATCTAATTTGAATTTTAACCCCTCCAAAAAAAATTATAACTGAAAACATCTCATTTTGTTATCTCAAGGACAATTAAGATACTACAGTGTGACATTGACTGTGTGCCCATCTCTTTGTGACCACTAATGTGTGACTACTACTGTGTGACCAATAAAACTGTAATGCTGTGGTGCTGAGAGTGTTGTTATAGACAGTAACCACTGTGGTGCTGAGAGTGTTGTTATAGACAGTAACCACTGTGGTGCTGAGAGTGTTGTTATAGACAGTATCCACTGTGGTGCTGTAAGTGTTGTTATAGACTGTATCCACTGTGGTGCTGTGAGTCTTCTTAGAGACAGTAACCACTGTGGTACTGTGAGTGTTGCTATAGACAGTAACCACTGTGGTGCTAAGAGTGTTATAGACTCTAACCACTGTGGTGCCGCGAGTCTTCTTAGAGACAGTAACCACTGTGGTGCTGTGAGTGTTGCTATAGACATCCCTGTTCTGTAAGACCCTTTATGTAGACATTTTAACATCTTATTGCCTGTAGCCGATACTTGAGGTAATGAGATATATGTCTTTCATCTTGACAGTTCAACCTCTGATGGTATTTAATCCAATGATGGAGCTTCTCTTGCTTAAGTCAAATCAACATGAGGCCTCCACACTAATCACAATCAGCCTGAATCACATGCTATTTGGTAGACTGATTATGATAGCCAGGTTTCTAGAGTGTGGGTTTAGCCTGACAACTCTGCCTAAGATAATGTGAATCAAAATCTATAGCATCTTTAAACACTGTCATTATCACTTGAGCGTAAAAACCCTGGTCATTGTAAGATCATCACCACAAATGGAATAGTACCCTGTTAATATAGAGTGCCAAAGTCACTTAACACAAAAGCATCACTTCAGTGTCTAGTGGTGACCAGTGGTGTAGAGAGGAACACTGTCTCCATCACTTCAGTGTCTAATGGTGACCAGGTGGTGTAGAGGGGAACACTCTCTTGATCACTTCAGTGTCTAATGGTGACCAGGTGGTGTAGAGGGGAACACTGTCTCCATCACCTCAGTGTCTAATGGTGACCAGGTGGTGTAGAGGGGAACACTCTCTTGATCACTTCAGTGTCTAATGGTGACCAGGTGATGTGAATTCCCTAACTTTGACCGTAGTGTACACATATCGTTCCTCAGTCTTGATCTTGTTCAGCATGAATAACTCCCTACCCTTGACCTTGGTCGATACAGATACAGTAACTACCTAACCTTGACCTTGGTCGATACAGATACAGTAACTACCTACCCTTGACCTTGGTCCATACAGATACAGTAACTACCTAACCTTCACCTGAGTCTATTATGATATTTACGTTAAGCACTAACCTTAATTAGTAGTGAAGGAGATAAGGTGCAAACAAAATGTTTCCTTTCATGTAGTTCGAAGGTCAAACTGTAGGTCAAAGTGATCATCTATTGATATGAGACACACTGCCTCATCAAGGTGAACCCATTGATAAATTGTATAAGAAAGATGGCCAAAACAAACTTTGTTTTTATTGAAGTCAAAATGTAGGTCACAACAACCTACTTTTTATATGTTATACACTGTCTAACCAAGTATAAGTTCCTAAAAGGTCACAGCCTTTCTGTTTACATATCTCACCTCAAGGGAGATGCTGTACTTAATAGCCTAGACTTAATTTTGTTTTGTTGCTTTTTTTTCTGACCACACATGCTAAAATTTGAAATAAGTATAACATGTCAGTAAAAACTAAATGTAACTTACCCTTTTGATGAGGTCATATGCTGTGTACTTCTTCACCTCCTCTGTCATAACTTTGCTGAACTGGTTTGCCCATGTTTGGACTCTGGAAAATACAAGTGACATAAAAAAATTACAGGTAAAACAGAAGTTTGATCAGGCAGATAAAGTACAGCTAAATCTGACAGTATATAGACAATTATTGTTGCTTAACATATCTATCTCACACACACAACAAAAAATAATCAGTTGATATTGATACCTTGGCACTGAGATTTCAACTCTTCCAATTTACTGAAAAATGTTAAGCTCCTTGAAATAAAAATTCCTAACAAGAACCAGACTAAACAGAATGTGTGACCTTGACCTAAAATCTAAGTGATATTATTAGTATCCTGATTCAATACCACACGTTCCTGCAATTTTATATAAGGACAGCAGTAAAAGGGATATAACTCCCCAGAAAATTTTTAAATTAGCCAAAAAGAAAATAATTATCTTTTTTAAAAAAAAAACTTTAAAAAATTTTGAATACATGCCAGAAGGGATAATGATTAGTGAATTAAGAATTCTTGTAGTTTCTTGGAAAATTTCCAATGCTATACTTAAATCAATTCTATGTCAGATGGCATACTGGAAAGGTACGTAGTTTAGTGGTCATCTTATCTTTACTGAAAATACTGTGGAAAAAATATCATTGTGCTAATTTTTGCCTCTGAATAGTGTCTATATATAGCAATTTTTACTGTGGTGTGAATCCATTGTGGTGCTAATTCAACAAAAAGTAATAATATGCTAAATTCAGATTATGTTAACTTAAGTATGTTTACTACAATTTAAATGTGTCTTTGACTATTTCAATGTAATAGTCAGATATAATATGCAATATCATCATAACTATGTTCTGAATATCTTCAGGATGTGATATAATCTTAGAAAAAATTTGTGGAGTCATCATTGGTGCATGTTTGATTAGCTATTACAAATGGACATAAAATTCAAATTCTAAATTTCTTTCACACACTGAGGAGTGGACTTGAGATGGATTGCAGTCACCTGCTTGACTGCGTGGGATTTTCCTGTATAATCTGGTTTCCTCCAACAGTGAGATCCCTTGTGTATCCAGGCTAACACGAGTGATTAGCATAAATTGAAATAAGAAATATTACACGACTTTTTGAGAGTTTTGTCAGATATTGGGATCAAAACTGAATTTCCATTGCTGTAACACAGAACTCATTACTGTGATGAAACAGGACAGTCCAATGTATACAGATGATCACGGAAAATTTCAAACCCAATATAATTAAACTTTACCAGATACAGCTGTGTTTTTAAGACTATAAAGATATCTATATATATCTAATTTGAATGTAAGGTAGACAGAATAAATCTGTAGAGGATGTCTGGCCGTCACAAGAAGGATGCATGCTTGGAAATTCCGGATTACCACCAAGAATTGCACTCATGTAAAATTACAAATCAATTCTCCTTTTTAGGTCAGAGACATTTCCACATAAGGTGCCACAGTTAATTGATAGCAGGAACCTTTGTACTCAGGCTGACCAAAAAAATGTCACCATTACTTTCACATTCTTAATTAACTTTTTCCTGAATTCATTATTGGTATCAAGGTCGCCATTTAGATGATCAATCTCGTGTGCTTATAAACAAAACTGACATTTCTCCGATAGTGTCCCAATTAACTTAGCAACACAGACACTCACCACAATATTCTGGAACAGGTTACAGTGTTTCCATGGTAAGGATGTTGGATACATGATTTTACTGTTCATCAGAATACTTCTATCATTTTATTGTGAATCAGGATACATGTATCTTTTTACTTTTAATCAGATAAATATATAAAAAATACCTGTATCTATCAATACCTGTATCTATAATCTATCAATACCTGTATCTATACTCCATCAATACCTGTATCTATACTCCATCATTATTTGTATTCAATACATGTATCTATACTCTATAAATACCTGTATCTATACTCTAACAATGCCTGTATCTATATTCTATCAATACCTGTATCTATACTCTATCAATACCTGCATCTATACTCTATCAATACCTGTATCTATACTCTATCAATACCTGTATCTATACTCTATCAATACCTGTATCTATACTCTATCAATACCTGTATCTATACTCTATCAATACCTGTATCTATACAATATAAATACCTGTATCTATCAATACCTGTATCTATACTCTATCAATACCTGTATCTATACTCTATCAATACTTGTATCTATCAATACCTGTATCTATATTCTATCAATACCTGTATCTATACTCTATCAATACCTGTATCTATGCACTATCAATACCTGTATCTATCAATACCTGTATCTATACTCTATCAATACCTGTATCTATATTCTATAAATACCTGTATCTATCAATACCTGTATCTATACTCTATCAATACCTGTATCTATATCTATCAATACACTATCAATACCTGTATCTATATTCTATCAATACCTGTATCTTTACACTATCAATATCTGTAGCTATACACTATCAATACCTGTATCTATATTCTATAAATACCTGTATCTATATTCTATCAATACCTGTATCTATACTCTATCAATACCTGTATCTATACACTATCAATACCTGTATCTATCAATACCTGTATCTATACTCTATCAATACCTGTATCTATACTCTATCAATACGTGTATCTATATTCTATAAATACCTGTATCTATACACTATCAATACCTGTATCTATCAATACCTGTATCTATCAATACCTGTATCTATACATTATCAATACCTGTATCTATAATCTATCAATACCTGTATCTATACACTATCAATACCTGTATCTATCAATACCTGTATCTATCAATACCTGTATCTATACACTATCAATACCTGTATCTATACACTATCAATACTTGTATCTATACTCTATCAATACCTGTATCTATTCTCTATCAATATCTGTAGCTATACTCTATCAATACCTGTATCTATTCTCTATCAATATCTGTAGCTATACACTATCAATACCTGTATCTATACTCTATCAATACCTGTATCTATTCTCTTTCAATATCTGTAGCTATACACTATCAATACCTGTATCTATATTCTATAAATACCTGTATCTATACTCTATCAATACCTGTATCTATACACTATCAATACCTGTATTTATCAATACCTGTATCTATACTCTATCAATACCTGTATCTATACTCTATCAATACCTGTATCTATACACTATCAATACCTGTATCTATCAATACCTGTATCTATACACTATCAATACCTGTATCTATACTCTATCAATACTTGTATCTACCAATACCTGTATCTATATTCTATAAATACCTGTATATATCAATACATACATTTATATTCTATCAATACCTGTATCTATATTCTATAAATACCTGTATCTATACACTATCAATACCTGTATCTATCAATACCTGTATCTATATTCTATCAACACCTGTATCTATATTCTATAAATACCTGTATATATCTATACTCTATCAATCCTGTTTCTATTCTCTAGTATTACTTTGGCACTTGGTTCTCATTACATTAGCAAATAAAAAAAATCCCCAGTAACTGTCATAAAGCATTGTTATGTGGCCATTTGTTTATGGTATTCCAGGAAATGGTGGTATAGTAAAGTCATTTTGATTGTCTGCCTGGTAAATCCCCCATCAGACTTACAAGAAGACATGACTTTGCATAAAATCCTGAGGAAGGCATATTGTTTATCAAATCCTAATTTATCTGCTAGACAACAGGAGGAAAATACTGATGAGGGAACCGTAGTGATGTCTGTAGTGGGACTTCTGTGATCAGAGAAAAGGGAGGACTGCAGGATGTGGTCTGTTAGGTCTAATGTGTCAGGCCATCCCTGTTAGTACTGAAGGATACACCACATAATATACATATATATATTACATAGGGTTTAATAAATAATGACAATAGCATAATGTCCACGATAATGATCAGAACCAGCCGGTGTTTATTGCAGGTGTTATCACATCAGAAAGAAATACTGACACCGGGGATTTTATCAACAGAATACAAAACATTTGTACAACAGAAACAAAAGTCAATATACTTCACAGTGTGAAAGATAATTGGTATCAGGTTTTATATTTATCTGTAAATTACCCAGGGAGGAATCTCTCAGCTCATCACCCAATGCTGTTTGTAATACAGAGTGCTATTCTCAAGTGGTCAGTAAGTTGTCACAGTAAATGTAAGTCAGCTGGTACAGCTGGTATTGTAGCCAGGGTGATATTACAATATAAGTCTGCTGGTATTGTATTATAGCCAGGGTGATATTACAATATAAGTCAGCCGGTATTATAGCCATGGTGGTATTACAATGTAAGTCAGCTGGTATTGTATTGTAGCCGGGGTGATATTACAATATAAGTCTGCTGATATTGTATTGTAGCCAGGGTGATATTACAATGTAAGTCAGCTGGTGTTGTATTATAACCAGGGTGATATTACCATATAAGTCTGCTGATATTGTATTGTAGCCAGGGTGATATTACAATGTAAGTCAGCTGGTATTGTAACCAGGGTGATATTACCATATAAGTCTGCTGATATTGTAGCCAGGGTGATATTACCATATAAGTCTGCTGATATTGTAGCCAGGGTGATATTACAATGTAAGTCAGCTGGTATTGTAACCAGGGTGATATTACCATATAAGTCTGCTGATATTGTAGCCAGGGTGATATTACCATATAAGTCTGCTGATATTGTAGCCAGGGTGATATTCCCATATAAGTCTGCTGATATTGTAGCCAGGGTGATATTACAATATAAGTCTGCTGATATTGTATTATAACCAGGGTGATATTACCATATAAGTCTGCTGATATTGTAGCCAGGGTGATATTACCATATAAGTCTGCTGATATTGTAGCCAGGGTGATATTACCATATAAGTCTGCTGATATTGTAGCCAGGGTGATATTACCATATAAGTCTGCTGATGTTGTAGCCAGGGTGATATTACCATACAAGTCTGCTGATATTGTAACCAGGGTGATATTACCATATAAGTCTGCTGATATTGTA